AGTGTGCTCTTTATATAATTGATTGGCCACAGAATAATTCCGAGGAAAGAACGGGCACGTGACCGATCAAATATACCACTAGCGATTTCACCGTTCTACAAAAATAATCAAAATCATCCCGAGTGTAGAATTTGCAACGGAAGCAACTGACAATAGGGAAATAGCGAAGAAAGGCGGATCTACCGGCCGTTAAGTTATCTATGTCAGCAATAATTTCACAACTACATTACCTTTTCAATACATTGTCATTAAGTGTAAATTTCACCGACGGATGTTTTACCGTTCCTAATATCTATTTTATTTGTTTTATTATTATTATTAATTTTTAAGTGCGTTTTAACGTCTAAGGTCATTTCACGCCCTAACATTTAAATCTTCCATCTTAGGTGGATATTCCCTCCTGAGTGCTATAAACCTCTGACTACAAACATTAGCCATAAACTAAACTATCCTATTACCAGGATTAATTATTGGAAAAGATTAAGTAATAAAGAAGGCCAAATGTATGCAAAAAACCCATTTTAAATTGTAAAATTTTTTCCAGTTCTTTAATTAGAAGTTTGAATTTTTGTTCCATATTTTGAGCATTTCGTATAGGCTTTTATGGTCAATAATAATAATAATCTTTCAATTAATTAAGGTTTTTAGTTGAGATAAAAAAGCCAGTGTCACGAGCGGGATTCGAACCCACGATCTTCGGCTAGATACGCCGCTGCTCTACCACTTGAGCTATCGTGACCTCGATCCACTCGGACACTAACTTCCCATCTCAACCCCACTTTTGAATTTTGAAAAATGGCAAAAAGGAGGTAAAATTCAAAAGGTGGGGTTGAGATGGGAAGTTAGTGTCCGAGTGGATCGAGGTCACGATAGCTCAAGTGGTAGAGTAGCGGCGTATCTAGCCGAAGATTGTGGGTTCGATTCCCGTTCGTGACAATGGCTTTTTATCTCAACTTAAAACCTTAATTAATTGAAAGATGTTAATTTGTGAAGCTGACCACGAAAACTAGTGAATTTAATAATAATAATGGCGGCAGGCTAGCAACAGTCTCAGCATGAGTATAGGCTCATCGTATAATGCTTCCATTCAAATATAATAAATACGCTAATACTACTTAACAGTAATAATGAAACAAATAACATAATATATATTTTTTTGGTGGGGGGGAGTTATCTTTCATTATTTAAATTGCGATTTTGAGCACTGTAGTTTATCACCCCGTGATTTGTAATTTCTTTTATTTCATTTTTCCGCTTCGGCAACCTCAAAAATTTCTGAAAAAAGAAAGAAATCTTGCACGCAGAACTCTCATTAAAACTCTAGCAGACAAACATTTAAAAATATAAGAAGACCTATTCGCAGTCTAGTGAGAATCACAAGTTCTTTTCTCTCAAGTTCCCCAGTTGGCCATTTATGTACAACTGGCTTAATTTCTTTCATACTGTCTCTACAGACATTCCATCTTGCCGCCCACCTTAGTTTTTAACATAAACGAATATATCACCTGGGTTGGAAATTGTTCTTTGTGGATGGTTTGTAACGTTCTTTGCCTGTTGATTAGCTATTTCATTTCCAGAAATGCCGGCATGACTAGGAACCCAAACGAATACGACATGTCTGTTAACTGCTTTGATTTCTAAGATGTATAGGTCAAGTGAGAATTTATTTTTGATAGCTTCGAGACCACTCTTCTAATCAGAGCAAATAATGGCATTACAAATTATTGGGTTGTCCGGAAAATAATGCAGGATTTTAAGTTTTCATTAAAAAAAATCTATATAAAATATTCTGTTTACGTTTACAGGATTACTCATTTGTATGAATGTCAACACTTATTAATCCTCTTCCAAATGATATTGTTTGTTTACCTCTGTAGCATTCCGCTACTTGGAAATAATTCAGTCATCCTTATAATGTCAAAGCGAGAATTTCGTACGATTTTCTTTTACGAGTTTAAACTCGGCCGAAGCGGAGCCCAAACGGCTAGAAACATTAACCAAGTCTGGGGCGAGGGTTGTGTTAATGAGTGCACTGTGCAAAGGTGGTTTAAAAAATTTCGGGAGGGAGATTTCAGCCTTGAAGATGAAGAAGGTCGTGGAAGGCCTTCCTCTCTTAATGATGATGTTCTGCGATCAGTGGTGGAAGAAAACCCCAAAACAACTGTTCGAGAACTTGCAGAGCAACTCAAAGTCAGTAAAACGACCGTCGCTGACCACCTCAAGGCGATTGGAAAAGTGAAAAAACTCGAAAATTGGGTTCCACACTCATTAAACGATCGCCAAAAAAATCAGCGCTTTGATGTTTGTGCATCACTTCTTTGTCGAAACAAAAATGACCCATTTCTGGCCAGAATTGTTACATGTGACGAAAAGTGGATTCTCTACGATAACACTAGACGTTCTGGACAGTGGCTCGACAAAGGAGAAGCTCCAATACATTTTCCAAAGCCCCCAACTCATCAAAAAAAGGTAATGGTTACGGTATGGTGGGCTTCATTTGGTTTAATACACTACAGCTTCTTAAATCCTGGCGAAACCATCAATGCTGAATCATACTGTAACCAAATTAATACCATGCATCAGAAATTGGCAGTAATGAAGCCCTCTTTGGTCAATCGGAAAGGGCCCATTTTGTTGCATGACAACGCTCGACCACATGTGTCACGTGTAACGTCACAAAAATTATTGGAGCTTGGCTATGAAACTTTGCCTCACCCACCCTACTCTCCGGACCTCTCGCCTACTGACTACCATTTTTTTAGACACCTGGACCACTACTTACAACACATAATATTCAAAAATCAAACGGAACTGGAAAATGCATTTATTGACTTTATCAATTCTAAAAATTCTGAATTCTACTCAGACGGAATTAATAAGTTACAAACACGTTGGGAGAAATGTATTGAGAGTATGGGAAATTATTTTGATTAAAGAACATTGCTTTAAAGTAACTAGTTTCTTTTTTTTTGTTTAATACCAAAATCCTGCATTATTTTCCGGACAACCCAATACTTGCGATTCTTTTATAATACTAAATGATCTGTTTACGTGAAATTCAGCTGTGTGTATGCTAGCCTCCGAACCGACGGTAAACCTAGGTAAATATGCTACAGTTTTCCAGTCTGAAATCATAGCGATTGAACAATGCGCCAGAGAAATAAAAAGGCTAGGAATATGTATCGCCATTTTCTCTGCCAGGCAACACTTAAGGCCCTAGCCTCGTGCGAGGTAAAGGCAAGGGGTGTTCGGATCTCCAAATAGGCCCCGACGGATGTCAGTGACACTAATGACCTGACCCTGGCATGGGTCCATGGACATTCGGGACAACTTGGACTCTCTGGGCCCTGAACCCTACTGTGGCTTAGCGGCCTGCCACAAAAGAGGATACATATAAAAATGGATCCTTAATGAGTCCAAAACCTGGCGGAACTATACCACAAGGACGAGGCACACGAAGTGATTCCTAGAAGGGGACCTTTACCTTCCAGCGATGAGCGCCGGGTCAACGTCTAAGCCGTTGCGGCCAGCAACGCTCCTCGTATCTCCTTTAAATTGATAATATTCACTTAAAAAAGTAAATGACTTAATTTATCGGTTTTTGATCTCGAAATGCATAAAATTAATGATATTTTCCAAGCGTTTCGCGCAGTCGTCAAGGGATATCGGGGAGGATTTGTGAATCAGTATTTGTAAGACCAGGAAGCAGAAAACATAGGCCCAGAACCTAACGATAACGAACTGGAATAAGTAACGTTCCTGTCCTACAAAACAAAGGAGAAATTGTCCAACTCTGGCGGTGTCAGTAATAACAAACTTGTTGGTGAAAAGAACTCTCATCCAAAGTGGCAATGTTTTTGCCCTTTGAAACCTACTTTCGCGAAAATTGGTGTAAATTAATTTTACGTCTAATATTTATAACATTCCTAGTGCCAGCTCTAACATCATTTTTCTCTTGATTGAATATATAAAAAAATATATATATCTTGCATTGTATAAATTCACTTTTCCACATTCAAAATGTAATTGTAATATGTAAACAATGTTTGTAAATCCCAGGCCCTGAAGATGATCTCAATAAAGATCAAAACGTTGGCACGATAAAGAAAATGTTTTTCTGAAACCTACATCACACCAGACCGCATCTCACGATTTCTAAATAAATAAATTACTATCAAACATTGAAATCGATCTGTTATTTCTATTTAAACAAACGAGAATAATTCCTGACATATAATTATGCTATTTTGTGTATTTTCTTATAGAAATATTTTATATATATTTTAATGGTACGTACGTCATTAAAAAGCCACGTTGCTCTTCTTTCAAATGGTCCCTTTGACGTGAAAATCTTTGTAGCCTTTTTTGATTATAGCCGTTTCAATGACGTATTCAGATAACGACCTTAAAAATCGGAAAAACTTTAGATGTCAAAAAATTCATAAATTTAAATTCAGCTAAAAATTTATATTTACTGGTCTCTAAAGGCGCTAAAATGAAATTTCATATTAGTTTCAAGAAAAAAAAATTTAACCTAGTAAATCCCTGGCCCTGAAGATGATCTCAATAAAGATCGAAACGTTGGCACAATAAAGAAAATGTTTTTCTGAAACCTACATCACAGCAGACTGCATCTCACGATTTCTTTTTAATTGAATAAAAGAAGTAAATATACTAGATCAGATAGATAAAGATAAATAGATATAGAATATAATAAGATAATAATAATTAGATATGATACTAATAAAGATAATAATATAGGTCGGCCGTCCGCGTGGGTGAAAAAAAAACTGTACGATCACGGTGGCAGGGAATAACGGCCGTCACGGAACAGTCACATCACTGATGTGTATGATTCGACTTTAAGGGTCTTGGGTTCGAAACTCAGCGGTTTTGGATTGTAATACGTACTTCCAAATGGGATTTTATATTTTTTCAAAAACACCGGAACGACCTCTGTTGTTACGAACAACCGCCAAAGAAAAGAAATGTATCGAATTGAACAGTTCGAGAGTTGATATCGACTCGCGGGGCGTTGCGCCTGGAAACTGGAAAAGGCTCACAGCCACATTCACAAAGCGAAGGTTCCGCGTTGTGCAGCAACCGTCTCTTTTTGTCAGTCATGTTTTCATACATTTTTACTGTCATTTACGCTTTTTAACCGTTTAACTAAATATAGATATAGATTAAAATGGAACAATGTAAGTATATAATATACTATAACATTTTTTTCGTTTTGTTTTCCATCTTATTTAATACATTATGTATTATTTATTTTCATTTAGTCAGTTTTGAAAGACTTTATGTATATATTTCGGCATCCTGTGCCATAATCATGCACCTACTTTATTACTGGAGAAATTGTTTTGAATTATATTATTAAAGTATTATTATTCTCTTTATACTTTTACATTATTTTATTATTATTCTTAATAATTACCTTAACTTTTATGAAAAAAAAAAAAATCAGCAGTAACACGTTGCTAATTTTATGATATTTATTTAATATAAAAATAATAATATGAGTGTAAATAACAAGTAGCAATAATATAAGTATAAAAATGTTATAATTTAGTACAAATTTTTCTGAAGTAAAGTAAGTTGATGGAATAGAAAAACGTAACAAAATAATATTAACAAGGTTGCGAATAGGTCACACCCGTGTCACGCACGGTCACCTCTTAGCGGGTTGAAGTCAAAAACGGTGCCCACTCTGTGGAAACCAGGTAATGGTGAGACACATATTAGAAGAATGTAATAAGTTATGAGCGTACCGAGAACGGTGTGACCTACCATCTATTCTGGAAATAGTTCTTGAGCATAACGGTGACTTCAAAGATAATCTTATTAGGTACTTAAAATTGATAAATGCGTATGGATACATATAACCAACCACACCTGGTATATCTCCATTTTGTAGTGTGAATGTATTTATTAGCGTGGGTGATGAGGTATGTCTGGGTGTGACTGTGACTGAATATCGAGTAGCTCACAGGCCCACCAAATTAGTTTAGGTGCTATATTTGTTGTGTGATGTGAGGGACAGGTCGCCGCTATCAAGGTTGTAGTAATTCTGCCGAGATGCTGCGACTTCTCCATTATGAATGTATTTATTAGCCTGAATGTTTTGTCTAAATGGACGTGGATGTCGAGGAATATCGAGTACTCAAAAAGGAAATTGCCTAATGGATGAATAAAATTCTGTACATACTGTATGAATGTATTTATTAGCATGAATGGAAGGAAGTAGGTAGGGTTAAGACTGTCTTACCTGCTTTTTATTTAGTTGTAGGGGCAGGACCTCAGTCGTGCACCTGTACTCTGAGCCCTGCCAACTGTAGATTAGGTAATCATTTTCTTAGTGTGAGTGAATATCGTTAGTGAGTGTAAATATTGAAGTATTTTTAACAAACCACGTGTGGGATGGTAGGAACAAGCAACAAAACACTCCTTTGTTTGGCCGGTAGGAAACAAAATTAAAAGAAAAAATATAGTGAATGAGATAGAGATAAAGATGAAATGAAACAAAGAAAAATGCGAGAAGCTTATATACGTGAGGTGCCGGCAATGACCCTTGTAGTTAGCCAGCCAAAGAAAGAAAAAAAAAGTTGATAGTTTAAAAAAAAAAAAAAAAAGGATATTGTGAAGCAGTTGTATTTACGAGTTTTTTGGCTTTGGTCAAGCGTACAATGAGGCAAGACAAAACAATAAATGCATTATTATTAAGAAATCACTGTTTATTGAAAGGTCTTTTTAACGTTCCCCCCCAGGACCATACAACGATTCAACAAATCATTTTATTGCATTGATATCGTTTTTGGGGAGCACCAGCCTTCCCTCTTCAATCTTGTTTCATTTTTGGAAATGCACATGCGGATTTTACAAAAATGAAGCGAGACTGAACAAGGGAGGCTGGAGCTCCCAAAATATTGTTGCAATATGAAATGTCAAATGGTTGTATGGTCTTGAAAAATCACCTAAACCAGTGGTTCCCAAAGTGGTCCCTACGGACCCACAGGTGTCCCCGCTATCATTCAGGGAGGTCCGTGGAAAATTAAAATTGATTTGGGGTCTCTGAACAACATCAGGGGGTTCGCGCAAGGTTTAATATAGTATAAATAATAATATAAAATAATATAATATAAAACAGATATTATATTTTTATTTAATAGAATAAAAGATTTTATATTATATATTATAGATATTATAGATTTATATATTAATATATATAATATAAAAGCACACACCTATCTGTTAGTGTGTTCCTATCTGATAATATGGCAATTAAATTAATCAAATGACCTATGTATTTGGTCATTATGGAAAGATATAATTGTTTGCTATTTGAAATTGACATTGTCCAGTAAAATAAAAAGAAAAAAGGAAGTTGTGGAATTGAATTAATTAACATGGTCAATTAGGCCACTAAAAAATAAATGGATTAATCTATAAGTAAAGAAGTATCACTTCACTAACAGCTCCCCGTGGCCACTTCACAAGTCGCTGAGAATTGAATCCTGATTACACGACATTTGAAAAATGGCAAAAAAGGGGAAAATTAGAACGGTTGCAGGTTGAGATGGGGAGTTGGTGTCCGAGTGGATCGAAGTCACGATAGCTCAAGTGATAGAGCAGCGCGTATTGCGCAGAAGGCGTGCGTTCGAATCCTGCTCGTGCCACTTCATCTCAACCAAGTCTTTACATAAAAATTATAATTAATTGAAATAATTAATTATAATAACGATAAATGATGAATAATGATTTCTTAATTTATATAATTTGATATTCTATTATAAATATTTTAAAAAGATTCATATAACATTGGAGAACATGAATTTTACGTAAATTATTAATTATTTACTTATTATTAATTATAGTCTTAATAGTAGTAATTTTTTTCTTAGTGCTGTGTTGGCCAATTGAGGATTTATTTTTTCACTTCTAGAAATAATTGCAGAGAATTTGAAACCCACATCGTTTGCTTTTCGTCCGCTTGTCAATGGCATTTTGTAAAGTCCTTCCCACGTTTTGGAGATTTTTTCCAGACAAGTAAAGGCAAAGATCAGCGACATATAAAGGCCTGACGATACGATCATCTATATTATCAGCCAGATCGTTTACCGTAATAGTAAATAAAGTGACACTCAGAACAGAACCCTGAGGAATCCCGTTTTCTTGAATTAACGTACTCGATAAGGCGGTACCTAATCTCACCCGGAATCTTCTCATTTTGAGGAAGCTTTTTAAAAATTTGGCTATGTTCTCTCTTAAACCCCAATCATAGACTTAAGAATACCAAATCTCCAGGTCGTATCATATGCTTTTTCCAGGTCAAAAAAGACATATAAAGCATGCTCTCTCTCTAAGAAAGTGTTCTGAACAGCACTTTCAAGGAGTGCTACATGATCTTCAGAGCAGAAGTGCTTTCTAAACCCAGCCTGGTATTGACTGTACAGACCTTTTTTCTCAATAAACCAATTTAACCTTTTGTTAATTATGGCATCCAATGCCTTGCTGAGACATGATGTTAGAGAAATAGGTCTGTAATTTTCTGGAAGGCTAGGATCTTTACCCGGCTTAGCAATGGGTATCAAGACCAACTCCTTCCAGTTTTCAGGATAATATTCTGCACCCCATATTTCCTTAAATAACTCCAAAAGCTTTACTTTTCCTTCTGGAGATAGATTTTTAATCATGGAGTATATGATTTCATCCTTTAATATTATAAATTGTTGATATTAAATTTTCATTTTTATTTATTTATTTATTTTTAATTTGTGTACTTTTTTTAGTGGAAGATGACAATTTAGATTTTTTGGAAGCTATATTGGATAGTGTCGAAAACGAGCATAGTGAGGGCCAACGACCGTTGCCAACTACGGTCAATGAATTGAAAATAAAACCAGCAAAAAAATGTATAAAGGATGTGAACGTGCCATTTCTGGACATAGACACAACCGAGAAGGCTAGTGTGACTGAAAAAGAAACAAAGGCTGAAAACAGTGTTGTACATTCAGGCGATACGGATTCATCTGACGATGAAGACAACAAATATTTTGAAGAAGTCAAATACAACAGTTGTGGGAAAAGTATTAAAAATAGCCTCAAGAATAAAGATTCGCCATACAGGGATAAAATCATCCCAAATAATAATTACTGGAAACCCAAAGCAACAGAAAATGTCGAGCCAAAGACGTTTTGCCTTCCAAAAAAAATTGAAAAAACAGGTCAGACTAAGCAGGATATAGGTATGGAACCTTTTCTTGGGATAAGAATAGTGTAAGTATATTCTTATAAATAATTTAAACTAAAAAATGACGGTATAATTTTAAAAAAATCTGCTTTCTATAACGCTGAATTGATATTAGTTTACAAGCAGAGAAAGTATAAAAACTAATATTTTTTTAATACATTTAGGATTTAAATTTTTTATAACATTGATGTGACTATTATTTAAATTGATAAGGATAGTATTAAATTAATATTTATATATTTTTTAGTAATCCATTGTACTCATCTACAGTCCTCAAGGAAAAAATGAGTGGAAGGACCCCAATTAGTTTTTTCACATTGAAAAATCACGTTAAGCATTCAGATTTAAAAACCGATTGGGTCCTGGCTGGCGTAATTGTGAATCAATCAGCACCTAAAATTTCTCAAAAAGTTAGTTTTCCCCCCAAAATTCCATTATTTCTAGTTTTGCTTTGTTATATTTAAACATTTCAGGGGTCAAAATATGTAATCTGGACGTTGAGCGATTTAAAACCAGAATTGAAAACAGCGGCTGTTTTCCTTTTTGGAAAGTGTTTTGACAAATTGTGGAAGACAAGCGTGGGTACCGTAATCGGCATATTGAATCCTAACGTTATGAACCAAAAGTATGTAAATGCTATTAACATCATGTCGTTTTTTTTTACATTTTTCTAAATCAAGCATTTTTCATGGCAGTGACAAAGCCAAAGATGAAGCGACGCTCTCTGTGATGAATCCCGACCAGATTATGATTTGGGGACGATCCAAAGATTTAGGACAGTGCAAAGGACTGTACGTGATTTAATAAAATTCCAATTTATTTCTGGTTTTATACAATTTTTAAAAATTGTAGGAAAAAGGATGGACAGAAGTGTACTTCATTTGTTAATTTAAGTCAATGTGAATACTGTATTTATCATGTACAAAGGGAATATCGCAAATACACAGGTCGGGGGGAGTTGCAAGCTGCAACTTGTGGACTTTCAAGAAATAGACTTAGGAATAAAGTGCTCGGAAAAGACGAGGTAACTAGTTGAAAGTTGTACTTATTCAAAAATAAAAAATAACCAAAAATGCTCTTTTAGGTTTTTTACGGAGGAAAGAGTTTTACCTCACTACCTGTAATCAGTAATAAAAAGAAGAAAGTAGAGGATGTAAAAAGGCTTTGTCATCTAGGTGCTGAGCCAAAAACTCTGCCTAAACCAGAAACATCTGTCCTTAATATGAATTCAAGATCTAAAGATCTGTTAAATATGCTGAACAAAAATCCTGGAGAACCACAGTAAGCAAAATTGTTTTGAAAATTATTTTAAAATTGGAATTGTTTTAAACAATGAAAAATTATTAGGTCACAATTCACCAAGGATAATAATAGATTAAAATTATTGTCGAAATCGTCTACGAATGAAAAGACAACAGATAAATATTGTTCTGCTAAGAAAGTGCCTGTACTCAGTAATCCAGAACTGGACTTTAATGAAGAACCCGTATCGCAAAGCCTTGTCAAATCGGTCAGAAACAATCCTAAAGGTCATTTACAAACTAAATTCAACAGCCTGCTAGCTATGGCAGCAGAAAACTGCAAGCCTTCTAAGAGTATTCCTACCTCGAAAGGAGCTTCTACTGCTGAACCTATCTCCAGGTGCGAGCAAAATGATGAGAAACGAATTGATTCTAACCTCTCTGCTAAAAGCAAACACATTTTGGAACCAAACAAGACCAACCTTCAGAATACAGAAATGTCAAAAGCAAAGGTAAAAAACTTTACTCCAGATGCATTAATAAAGAAATTTATAAGTTACATTATCTCTAAAAAAAAAATCATTTGACATACAATATTCTAGCCGTGGTTTAACTTTCAAATAAAAAATAAAATTACAATTAAAAAATATCAAACTGATCTGCTCTCAATGTTACAAAGTCACTAATCGTCACTTTTTTCATCTTTCATCATACTTTTATTTAAAAACACAACATATAAATAAAATAAAAATTTAAAAAAAGTGAAAGAAAAGAAAATGTTTTATACCAATTTATCTATTTATTTTTTTAAGCATTTAGTTATCTTATTTTTCAGTTAATGGCTATAGAATATGTTCGGAAACATGGCAAATTTTCCAAAGAAAATCAAACAGGAAAAAACCCAAGCGCAGTTATGAAGAATTTAAAACGTGCCTTAGAAGATAGCAATGAGGATGATGGTAAAACTATGAAGACGAAAATAATTTTTATCGATTCAATTCATCTATTACTTTTATTTCAGAGCCACCGAAAAAGCAAGTGATTTCGGAAAGATTTCTTCAACTCATGAAACAAGAGACAAAGCACAAAGATCTTGTCGAACTAAACAAACAGGCCGAGGAAGAGGCCTATTTCGCAAAAATGGAAAAAAAGGAGCAGTTGGAAGAGAAAATGATGAAAACCTATAAAATCGATTGCAAAGCCGTCTCCTGTTTGAAAGTATTACATTTTTATTTGACATAATTTTTAACAAGACGTTATTTCAATTTTGATTTTAGTGTAAATACACATGGTTTTCCGCTTCTGAAGCTTGCAAAGAAGAGAGGCACCCGCTTAAAGTCGTTGATGCCGTTAAAAGGTTTTTCAAATGTTCGAGCTGCGGTAACAGGACCGTGAGCTTGAATATTATTCCAATTATCGCCTGTAAAAAGTGCGGTTCTTCAAGCTGGGAGAAAACTTCCATGATGAAGGTAGAACATTTAAAAAAATATTTAATCAAACTCGTCTTAACATTTCTATCATTTTAGGAAAGAGTTGTAAAGAAGAGTCATGAATTGAGTATACGTGGAGGGGAGCAAACTTTCATAAATTCAGTTGTTCAGAATGGTAATCTGGGTTTGATGATGCCTGATGAATAATTTATGGTAGGTTATGAAATTTTTTTTAAAATAGTTTTATTAAACAATAAATAATTTTTAATAACCATATGTACTACTTATTTGTCTATTGTTCTTAATTTATTTAAAAAATATTTTTTTCTTGTAATAACAAAAATTTTATTAAAAAGAAATGATATCAAGATAATTAAATTAAAACAGTATTAATAATTTTAAATAACTTTTATAAGTACAGAACAAGTGACAAGTGAAGTTGGAATTAACTGACACAGCCTTTTTCTCATTTTTTCATAAAAACAATAAAATTATTAATATAAATAAGGTAAATTTGTACAATGCCTTAAGTAAAAATGATTGCTATATAAATAATATGTACAGTAAAAAAAATAATAATTTAAATTGCGAGTACATCTACAGTAATTCTCCATTGAGTAAAATTACTCTTATGAAATCAATCATTACAGACAAATTCCTAATCATTAAAAAAATTTTAAATTATTTACATACAACTGCGCTAGACCGCAGTTAATATCACAGCTCACCTCTTACAAGGTAATATAGCTTACAAATTTCATAAGAAGTACCATGCTCTTAGGTAACTTTTTTTAACCAATTTTTTCTATAAGGAACATTTTAAGTAGACTTGCACTTTTGATTACAATCATAGGTGAAAATGTTGTTAAAAAATAACCTTTCTTTCCATTCATGGCGATTGATCAAAATAACCGGTCAGTTATACAGAGCAATAAAAGTTGATATAAAAATAATTATAATTGGAGGGAGGATACATGATGCGACGCTTTGAGCAGACAAACTTTTACACTGGAGATTGTGAAGTTCCCTTTCATCTCCTTCGCTGTTGAGTGCTAAAATACACAGCTCCAGAGGACCCTAAATTAATTTAAGAAAAAGAAAAAAAGAGAGTTAATAATTTGGGAGAAGGTTTTTAATCTACAGTATGATTAAAATAACACTATTATTAATATAACAACAAAAATTCTCTAATATGAATGTATTTATTAGCGTGAATGTTTTGTGTAAATGGACCTGGATGTCGAGGAATATCGAGTACTCCACAAGCCGATCAAAAGGTAATTAGTTTAATGGATGAATGAAGTTCTGCACATACTGTATGAATGTATTTATTAGCACGAATGGAAGGAAGTTGGTAGGATTAAGACTTTTTATTTAGTTGTAGGGGCAGGACCTCAGTCGACCTGTACTCTGAGCCCTGTGAACTGTAGATTAGGTAATCATTTTTTTAGCGTGAGTGGGTGTCGTTAGTGAGTCTGTAAATATTGAAGTATTTTTAACAAACCACGTGTGGGATGGTAGGAACGAGCAACAAAACACTCCTCTGTTTGGTCGGTAGGAAACAAAATTAAAAGAAGAGATATAGTGAATGAGATAGAGATAAAGATGAAATGAAGCAAAGAAGTATGCGAGAAGCTTATATACGTGAGGTGCCGGCAATGACCCTAGTAGTTAGCTGGTCAAAAAAAAAAGAAAAAAAAAGTTTGGAATGATATTTATATATTTACCTGGGATGTGGGAAAATTGGTCAAGATTGCACTTCTAGTATTGTAAGCCAAGGATTTTTTTAACATTGGTTTTTCATCTTGACCTTCATGACCCTTAACCAGAAGAGCGAAATTAGCAATGTCTTCCTTTGCTGTCACATACCATGTTAACAATATTTTTCCATTAGGATTTCTATTTACAAAGAAAAAAGTTAATAATCTTAAGATTCTATTTATTAATTTTTTTATAGTTAATTTTTGGACGAACCTTGAAATTTCTCTAAACATAACATCCGGCGTGACGTCAAACTCTTCTCCTAAATATTCGTGCTCCCCGTTGCATGACAGCTCTTCTTCACTCACCTCCATTATAGACTTTCCGAAAGTTGATTGTGGCAAATCGCATTTCACTTCTTTCCAGTCGTCGATGTAAGGATTGTCTTCCATGAGCAACCTTTTCAACGGTCTCAATCTACAGTCACAATGTACGCTATTGCCTAAAATTAATGTACATTTTAGCCATATAAAATTAATTTTTAAATTCACTCCTGAAATTATTTATCACCTGAATATAAGATTCTGCTTCCATTTTTAACCATTTTTTGTAATTCAATGTAATAATCTAACTGATTGTTTCTTATATCGAGATGTCTCAATTTCACTACTTGTTGTATCGGTATCGTGTCAAGTTGATTGTTTTGAATGTACAACGTTTTCAAACTTGAAGGCAAAACGAAAACATTCGCCTCAGACACTTCCTTCAATTCATTGTAAGACAAATCAAGGATTTCCAGTGAGGTCAAGTTGCCGATTATGTTCTTTCGAATTTCATTTATCATGTTGTGACTTAAGTTTAAATAAGTGACCTTTTTTGTTCCATAAGTCAGATCGTACGTCACGGCAGGCATGTGATTATAGCTTAAATCGATATCTCTTAGTTTGTACGGTTGGTACGGATCGCTTGGGAATGTTTTCCTTGTAACGAAGGATATTTTATTATGGCTCAAATCAACCTGTAAAACAATTTTTTTATAGAAGTAGAAGTGAGGATGTTTGGATTATAATTGTTTCAATTTGGGACTTGCAGTAAAGTGATCATAAGTACCAAATCAGCTGTAGTAGTTTTGTTAGTTATTTAATTCATTTTATTTATATTATTGCAGTTGATGCTATGTATGTAGATTATGTATATTTTTTTACCTTTTCCCTTCCTAAAAAGAGATTCTTTAAATTAGGGGGTCCAAGAGACACCTGGTTTTTTTAAAGGTTAATTTGTTTCACATTTTTTCTTCTGTTTCAGGCTATTTTTTCTTTTCCTGCCATCATCAGGAAACTTTAACAAGAAGTACAACCAAATTAATATACATTGTAGCAATAGTAATTAACGTCATTTACATTACAAAAAATAAAATTGTCAATGATATTATGTAATTACTAATGCTATAATGTGTATTAATTTGACTACTTCTTATTAGGGTTTTTTCTGATGTTGGTAAATAGCTCAAAATGTAGAAGAAAAAATGTTAATTTGTTTCACATTTTTTCTTTTATGTTTCGGCTATTTTTTCTTTTCCTGCCCATCATCAGGAAACTTTAACAAGAAGTACAAAAAATTAATATACATTGTAGCAATACTAATTAACATCGTTTATATTACAAAAACTAAAATTGTAAGTGATATGTAATTACTAATGCTATAATGTGTATTAATTTGACTACTTCTTATTAGGGTTTTTCTGATGATAGGAAATAGCCCGTAACGGGAAGAAAAAAAAGTTAATTTGTTTCACATTTTTTCTTCTACGTTTCAGGCTATTTTTTTCTTTTCCTGCTCATCATCAGGAAACTTTAACAAGAAGTACAATCAAATTAATATACATTGTAGCAATAGTAATTAACGTCATTTACATTACAAAAATAAAATTGTCAATGATATTATGTAATTACTAATGCCATAATGTGTATTAATTTGACTACTTCTTATTAGGGATTTTCTGATGATGGGAAAAAATCCGAAACGTAGAAGAAAAAATGTTAATTTGTTTCACATTTTTTCTTCTATGTTTCAGGCTATTTTTTCTTTTCCTGCCCATCATCAGGAAACTTTAACAAGAAGTACAACCAAATTAATATACATTGTAGCAATAGTAATTAACGTCATTTACATTACAAAAAAATAAAAATGTAAATGATATTATGTAATAACTGATGCTATAATGTGTATTAATTTGACTACTTCTTATTAGGGTTTTTGCTGATGTTGGGAAATAGCCCGAAACATAGAAGAAAAAATGTGAAACAAATTAACATTTACAAAAACCAGTTGTTTCTTGGACCCCCTAATTTAAAGAATCTCTTTTTAGGAAAAGAAAAAAGGTTAAAACAAATATATTTAAAACATATAATGTAAAATTTGTGAATGGAATATTTCAAAAAAGCAAAGTTATGAATTAAATAATACAAAAGCACAAACTCATAATTATTTATTTGAAGTTAACTTTTTAATATAATTAAAATTTAAATAATTAATTACCCTTTCAAGAGAATAGCAGTCATCTAAAAGACCATGGGTTTTATTGTCTAAACTTTCCAATTCATTGTAAGATACATCCAACTCTCTCAATGCAACCAAACCTATAAAGTTGGTAGGAAAGTATTACAGTCAATAAAATAATGAACAAAAAAACACATATTTTACCCAGGAAGTATTTTAGTGATTTTCACAATACCTTTAAAGGCTCCATTAGTTATATTTTTTAATAAATTGTGGGACATGTTTAACTTCAACAGCTGAAGAAGACCTTCGAAGGCCTTCGGTGACACTTCTGTTATTTGATTTTCTGCAACATTTAATTCAAAAACCAGTGGCAATTTTCCAAATGCGTCTCTTCCCAATGAAGTCAAATTATTGCCCTAAACAAAATAAAATTTTTAACAGTTGTAAAAAAATTTCAAGAATAAATGTTTCCAACCTGCATATTTAAATATTGCAATGTTGCAAGATCCGAGAGGGCGATCCATGGAGCTGCTGTAATATAATTTCTGCTCAGATTTAACGTCTGCAGTGTTAGCAGGCCAGAAAACGATCCGCTTTGAAGAGAGTCTTCAATGTAATTGTCACTCAGATCCAAATACTGCAACGCATTGGCTGTCGGCCAACTGGACGGGGGGATTTTTTCAATTTCGTTGTTATTCATTTTAAGCCTCGTCAATGCTACAGGGATGTTGAACACCCCTTTGAGAAAATTAAAAGACAGGTCTATTGTCTGCAAAGACACCAGTTTTGCAAAAGCCCCCCTGGAAATATCCGTGAGTAAGTTGTAGCTGAGGTCCATCTCAAGAAGAGTCGGTATCGCACCAAATGTGCCCAGCTTAATCTCAGAGATTGCGTTAAAACCTAAATTGAGACTTCTGATCCCAAAAAGAGTCTGAAAGACACCGTTGTAAATTTTAGAAATATTATTATGACTCAAATCGACGGTATGTAACTGATAATGTTTTGGGAATGTGTTTTTCGGTATCGTCGTGAGCTGATTGTGAGTCACGTTCAAAATCTTCAGATCTGTCATATTTGCTAATGGCACCTAAAAAATTATTATTAGTTATTACATATATTCAATTTTAAATTGTATTATTATTCATAAGTACTTTTGATAGGTCTGTAATGTTGTTGTAAGCCAGTTGAAATTCGGCTGCGTAACTGATCTCATCAAAAGCCTTAGGAGGGAAGTATTCTATTTTATTGTACGATAAATCCAATGTTGTGATATTTGCACAATTTTCAAATGCACCCGGTTCGATTTTTGAAATAGCATTGTGGGACAGATTGATGTGAACTAGATACAAATCTTTAAACGCCAATTTTTGTATTTCAGTCACAGCATTTTCTGATACGTCAATAAGCTGAAAGTAATTTTATTTTTACAAAGTTGAAATATTTCAGGAAATTTATTTTTGGAGATTTTTTTCACCAATCTTACCTCAGCGTACTGAAGTTTGCTGAACATTTGATAATCGATCTTTTTAATCTGATTTCTTGCTAATTTAATGACTCCGACTCGACTAATCATTCCAAACGTGTCTCGGCCTATATCGGATATTTCATTGTCAGACATTTCAAGTCTCCTCATAAAGCGCATCCCTCTGAATGTGTTAGAGTCTATTTTTTTTATTCTGTTGTGGTTGAGAATCAAAGACTTGAGCACAGAATTTCGAGCGAATGTCCCCCTATAAAGCAATGTAAAAATTAATTCTAGTAAAATTGCGTTAAACTTAAATAAAATACCTTTTAAGTTCGGTGAGAGCATTGCTAGAGAGATTGAGTATACTAAGTTTACTTAAATCCGACACGTGTGAGCTGTCTATTTTAGTTAAAGCGTTGTGAGACAAATCCAAAATCTCGACAGCCCTTAGACTTTTGAACTGGTTCTTTTTGAGCGCTTTCAACTGATTGCCGTGCAAATCGAGCTTTTTCAACCTTTTGCACGGGATTAACGTTTCAACCGGGAGGTCGGACAAATTGCCGTTACTCAAAGCAAATTTTTCAAGATTAGTAGGCAGTAATCCAGCCATGCTACCGACTGGTAGTGTGGACAATTGATGCCCGTCTATATTTAGAGTGTTAATTTTTCCAATATTCTGAAAACAAAAGAAAAATATATTCATATTTTGGTTTAAATTATAAAGCATGTTAAATTAATTAAACACTTCAAAAAATTCAATCATGGAGAAGAATCTAATGACAGTCTCTTAATAATTAATAGCAATACTAATCATTTAAGTTAGTTTTATCTTATTTTATTAATAAAAACTATATTATATATTGATAATATTTATTTAGAAATCATGAGATGCGGTCTGGTGTGATGTAGGTTTCAGAAAAACATTTTCTTTATCGTGCCAACGTTTCGATCTTTATTGATTTTTATGTTTATACAATTACATTTTAGATCTGGAAAAGTGAATTTACACAATGCAAAATATATTTTTTTATATATTCAATCAAAAGTATTTCTACTTTCTCAAAGTGTTTGTCTTCTGTGTAATTGTGCCATTCTTGTGTGTCGTGTCGAGAGGGCTAGTGAGATTTTTCTATTTTGTGTTTGCCTGGCACTTGATACTTTGATTGAAAAAAAAATATATATTTTGCATTGTATAAATTCACTTTTCCACATCCTAAATGTATTTGTTAAATGTAAACAATGTTTGTAAATCCCAGGCCCTGAAGATGATCTCAATAAAGATCGAAACGTTGGCACGATAAAGAAAATGTTTTTCTGAACCCTACATCACACCAGACCGCATCTCACGATTTCTAAATAAATATCACCACACATTGATAATATTGTTGTTATTGTTAAAATTGATTTTTTATCTTGATCAATTCTGTTCCATATATGTAGATAACCAAAAACACTTTCATAAAAAGTAGTCTTTATTTATTTATTTAAAACAAATATCAATTTCAGGGTGCCCCCTCTTCAGTTGTGATGACTTAAAATATAAAAATAAACCATCAAATATTAAAAAACATGTTAACAATTTACTTTTAATTATTCTTAACACGTTGTGTTTTAAGATTTGATTTTTTTGTGCATTTTTAGCCATAACCGTTGAAAAGGAGATCCTGAAATCGATACTTGTTTAAAAAAAATATTAATATTTGATGGTTTATTTTTGTATTTTAAGTCAACACAACTGAAGAGGGGCCACCCTGAAATTGATATTTGTTTTAAATAAATAAATAAAGACTACTTTTTATGAAAGTGTGTTTTTGGTTGTCTACATATATGGAATAGAATTGATCAAGAGATTTTTTTATTGATTAATTCTATTCCATATATGTAGACAACCAAAAACACACTTTCATAAAAAGTAGTTTTTATTTATTTATTTATTTAAAACAAATATCAATTTCAGGGTGGCCCCTCTTCAGTTGTGTTGATCTAAAATACAAAAATAAACCATCAAATATTAAAAAACAACATGTTAACAATTAAGTTACTTTTATTTATTCTTAACGTGTTTTAATATTTGATTTTTTTTGTATTTTTAGCCATAACAGCTGAAGAGGGGATCAGGCAGCATCACGAAATTGATACTTGTTTAAATAAAAAAAAAATCAATAAATAATAAAGACTACTTTTTATGAAAGTGTTTTTTCGGTTGTCTATCTCTATGAAACAGTTGATCAAGTTAACAAAATAAATCTTATTATTTTCTTTAGAAATATTATACACTATATGCAACTACCTGGAAAGCATCAGAAGGAAACGACGAAAGCTCGGTCCTTATCAAATGCAATTCCTCCAAAGTTTTATTGACACCAAGAAAAGAATGAGCTTCGATAGACTTCAATGGAGTGTCTGTGATGATAAGCTTTTTCACTTCCAAAGCGTACAAAAGTCCACCAAAAAGACGTGCTGAAACAAGGGTTTTTAATAAATTAGGTATTAATAGTTTCAAATGGGGGGGCATCAATGTAAGGTAAAGGTCCCGAGTTCGAATACTGGCGTTGCATTTGAACCCGAGATACTTATAAATGGATTTTTTTTTAAACATCGGCACCTCGAGGGATCAAATAACTCCGTAGTTAAAATACCCTCATTTAAAAAAAAAAAAAAAATTACTAATACAGTAATCTAAAATATGGTTCAATATGCAGCAAAGGCAAAAACCTCATCCAAAAGAATTATGCAAAAGTAATGAAACAACTGATCAAGTTAATGGAAAAAAATGGTCTGAGAAAAGCTTCTGGCCATATTCTTCCAAAAGACAAACAGTGAAATAGGTAGAAAAATCAAATGCCTATGGTCAGGCAAAATCTACAATTTGATTAAATAGCTCACACTCAAAATAGCGACTGATCAAATGGCCAGCAATAAATTTAGATGTGATGAAAAAATATAAATGTAGTATACTTAAGCCTCCAAAAACCAAACACTCGTTTTTTTTTGTTTTTTTTTACGAGGGTTCGCAACAGCAGAGGTCTATCAACCCTCAGGGTGCCGGTGTTTTTGAAAAAAAGCCCATTTGTAAGTATGTCGGGTTGGAATGCAGGGCCGCTGGATTCGAACCCGGGACCTTTACCTTACAGTGATGAGCGCCGTGTCAACGCCTAAACCGTTGCGGCCACCGACGCCCCCTAGATTACCTATTGCTTGTCAATTTAATATAAACAACAATAAATTTGTCCAAACATATTAATTATTAATTGGAGGTATAATTTTTTTTAAACTTATTAAAACTAAATAGTGCACTGAACAATCCCTGTGGATGGCTTAAATGCCTAAATGTGCCTGATTAAAAAAAGCTAGAATAAATGGACCAGAATGGTCGGACGTCGGAGACGAGCAATGTATCCATCACCTCGCAGACCCCACTACAATATTAAAAAAAAAAAAAATGTTTACTCACTGAATTTCCCGTTGGAAATAGTTAGAACGTCTACCGGCGCTTGGATCGAAACGATGTTCGAAAATGCTATGGAAAGTGACGCCAGGTTGCTTTTATCACAGAAAACTGTCAGGCCTGTATCGGTTCCTTTTGTACATTTACAAGGATACAGAAAATTGGGCTTCTGTGGACAAGGGAACTTCGGGCCGGGAGGGATGTACCCGCCGATGGCCATTCCAAACCAGCACAATATTAATAACAGGAACATCTTGCCTGAAAAAAGAAATAAATTAACATAAGTGAAATTATTTCTCCCATAAAATCAACAAAGCTGTTGATTTTGGGTCTGTTCGCTGTTTTTCAAAACTGAAGTCGTGGGTTCGAATCGTGATACTAATTTTTCATCTCAACCTATTCATGATAATGTAATAATAAATAATGTGCATCGAGAATAGACGCATTCAACATAAGCTAAAGGCGGCAATATATACGCACCCCCCAAACCCAAGCATGGTTAGTTAACATACGGTCCGCGTAATGAATTTGTTTTTTATTGTAATTATACAAATACATTGGATTATTCATTAACACGCACTATGCAAAAATATTTTAAAAATAGATCATATTACAAATAATGATTATTCGGAAATCATGAAATGCGGTCTGGTGTGCTGTAGGTTTAAGAAAAACATTTTCTTTATCGTGCCAACGTTTCGATCTTTATTGAGATCATCTTCAGAGCTCAAAGTGTTTTTTTTCTGCGTAATTGTGCCATTCTTTCGTGTCGTGTTGAGAGAGCCACCACACACGTTACAAATAATGAGAAGCGAGATAAGTGAATTTTCTACGATCAAAAGGATTAAATCACAGGCAATTTCTCCTTGAAGAACTAAATACCAGTCATTTAGATATTCGATATCACAATAAAATCCGTTGGTAAAGTTTAGGAAAAGTTGTAAGACGTGTGTGGGACTTTCAAGAGGAAATAAAATATTTTTAACGCTTAATGAAAATGAGGCTTTTCCTGCATTATTAGATCCAAATTAGACTTGTGATTTAGCATTTTCTTTGTATATTTTCACACAATTAAAAGAATTTAACATGTTTACAAGGGATAAATTTATTTTCTCATGATTTAATACAGAAATTAAGAGCTTTTAAAATGAAGCTTAGCATTTTTTCTACAAATCTGGTTGAATACAATCTTCATCATTTCCCAACTGACCATATCTTATAAAGTATTTTAAAAGAAAAGTTTCACACATTTAATAAATATATCCTTAATGGCAGATTTCGAGCAGAGCACATTTGATTGCTTAAAAAAAATATTTTATTTTTATTTGTTATCCTGAATCCATTTTCTGAACAAGTTGATGATATTCCTTTGATATACAATTAGAAATAATTAATGTACAAGGTGATGAATTGTTACATGATAAATATCGAAAAGAAGAGGAAAATTTGTGCTATTTTTATAAGCAATTGAATAATGAAAAATATGGAAATTTAAAAAAAAATTGCCAAGACGTATTTAGTCATCTTTAACTGAATTTATATTTGTGAAAAAATCTTTTATTTAATGAATTGAAATAGAAGTTCAAGGAGACATATACATTTGGAGGTTGTTTCTTTCTTTTTTTAAATAACTTTATTTCTACCTGTTCCCTTTATCAGACTGTAGCATTAGAATTACATAAATTCTTAATGTAATAGAATACATTTTGCTGTACATGCTTTATTTTACTTATCAGAATGGGTTAACAAATTAAACGAATAACGTATTATTAATAATGTACTATAGATTAACTTTTTTTTTTTTGGACGAGGGTTCGCAACAGCAGAGGTCAAGGGTGCCGGTGTTTTTGAAAAAAATCCCATTTATAGGTATGTCGGGTTGGAATGCAGGGCCGCTGGATTCGAACCCGGGACCTTCACCTTACATTTCATGAACTGCTTCTGTTAGACCGAAATAAGTTTTTTTTGGCCAAGTTTCACTATTTTGAACCAGAATCAAAATGGATCTTTCTGTGTCGAATATGCAACAATCTGTTATGTGGCTCCAGGTTTGGTTATTGTGGCCACAAAGGCATGCAGGATTACTTACATTCAATCTTGCAAGATCTATTTTTACCATGGTTTGTCATGGTCATTGTGGATGTGAAGGAATGCTTTATATCTGGTTGAAGGCGAGAAGTTATAGTCGGAAAATAGCGTTTTGTTATTTTTGCATCATTGGTATTTTTACATTCTTCTTTCCACTTTTGGTTGTTCTCCTCAGTACGATTTTTGACGTAGTTTACAAGAACTTCAGAGAAACGTATGGGTATTTCCTCATCTTTTGCGGTGAGATCTCTGCCACATAATTTTCCCACTTCACCAACACGTACCTTGACCCAACAAATTGTAATGTTCCAAACGAAATCATGTCGCAATATTTTTAGTTTTTTCTTTTTTTTTCAACTAATTTATGATGGTTTCTGTGGTCTTGAAGTAACGAATTATCGTTCTTTTTGCACCTCCTGTTTCATTCTATAGAAACCTCTCTGCTTTCAGAATGGCCAAGAGTTCGGCTTGGTTGTTGGAACACCAAGCTGCAAGTCATCCCATCACCCAGATATCACCTTGTAAGCTTTGTTGCTCAACAGAGGACCAATCAGAATTGGATCAGGAACAGAATTGGAATCAGGAACGCGACGGAAAGCTGATGATCAGCAAGAAAACTATTTGTTAGAAGATTCATAACTTTATGGATAGGTTTTTAGTTGAGATAAAAAAGTGAGTGTCACGAGCGGGATTCGAACCCACGACCTTCGGCTCCGCCGCTACTCTACAACCCCACCTTTAGTAGAGTAGCGGCGTATCTAGCCGAAGGTCGTGGGTTCGAATCCCGCTCTGATACCCACTTTTTTGTCTCAACTAAAAAAAATATAAAGATTTATTTAATTTGAATATATGTATTATATTATTTTCACTTTATTTTGTTTTTATTGTATATTAAATGTAAGCGAAATCCCATCTCAACCCCACCTTTTGAATTTTCCCACCTTTTTTGCCATTTTTCAATTTTCATCTCAACTAAAAACCTTAATTAATTAAAAGATATTAATTGGTCAAGCGGACGACGAAAACTAGTGAATTTATAGATAGGCTAATCTTCGACATTAATATTTCGTCGGGCCCGTGAAAATATGTTTTTTCCAATCCTGCCCGGGGGCAAATACAGTTGATCATGTCTGTCCTAACCAAAGTTTTTCGTAACGATACAGGAAAATCTTTTGTCAGGTTCTTCGAAAGAATTTTCCTCCAATTCTCCTTTCAACTCACGCAACACACGTCCTTTGTACAGCATTTGTACAAGGCCGTATGATGCCAACAACTTTTTTATAACGGAAATCCAAACGCAAAATCGAATTATACATATGCATATTTAGTTGTTATGCTAAATAATGAGAATAGCTGTGCGGAAGTCCCACAGTACCGGAATAGTCCTCATTGTTCTGAATAGAGGAAAATAAAACGAGATTGCGTTGTTTTTCTTGACCATACCATCCAAAGACTTTCTAGGAGGAAAAGTTCTATAAAGTAATAACGTATAAGAATTCGTCCGGAGCAAGCAAATTTACATCAACATAAAAACCCTGCAATTGTTTACATTCTTGTTTTATAAGACAAGAATGAAGGATAATTTATAAAAACAAAGGAATTATACAGTGGAAGAACCGATGACCTCCGCTAGCTAGATTACAACTAAGGAAAAACAATTGAGCCCCCTTGAATGTTTTTGTCAATAAGATGATCTTTTCTAATATACAAGATTACAGTAGAATAATATTGTATAGAGCTTATGAACTTTTTTTAGGAAATTGTAACGTGTTACAAAATGTTTTTCGTTGTACTTATTCTATGCACTCATAACGAATTCATCACTCCTGAAACATCAAAAAGAAATCTCACATCTCCCAAATATGTGGAGATGTGGAACTGTTGCGATATGTTCACTAGTTGTCGTGGTCCGCTTGACCAATTAATATCTTTCAATTAATTAAGGTTTTTAGTTGAGATAAAAAAGTCAGTGTCACAAGCGGGATACGAACCCATGACTTTCGGCTAGATACGCCTCTGCTGTACCACTTGAGCTATCGTGACTTCGATCCCGCTCGTGACACTGACTTTTTTATCTCAACTAAAAACCTTAATTAATTGAATGATATTAATTGGTCAAGCGGACCACGAAAACTAGTGAATTTAATAGGTTAAAATGAAGTATACTTCACTAAAAGCTCTCCGTGGCCATTTCATTTGTCGCCGAGAATCGAATAGATTACACGACATTTGAAAAATGGCAAAAAGGATGGAAAATTCAAAAGGTGGGGTTGAGATGGGAAGTTAGTGTCCGAGTCACGCTAGCTCAAGTGGTAGAGCAGCGGCGTATCTAGCTGAAGATCGTGGGTTCAAACCCCGCTCGTGACAGTAACTTTTTTATCTCAACTAAAAACCTTAATTAATTGAAAGTTGCAATAAGCTTCATCAAATTATATTTGCTTAGGGTATGACAACCAGAAAGTTGATTTTTTGTTCATGATTATTTATAAGAACAAAGGAAAGTAGGGACATTCATTCATTCGTGCCAGATAAACTTTATAAACTTAATAAATAATTTTTTTTTAAATTTACAATTTTCCCCTGAAACCTATATAAATCTGAATCGAAACATTAAAAAAAAGAATGTGATGGAAAACAACGGAATTCTCAAAAAGAAGAGGTAACCCTGGTAATCATAAGGTACATTTAAAAACCGGACGTAGATTTTGGGCCTGATGTCCCTTAAAAGATTAGATAGTTCAATTCGTCAGTTTAGCCTTTATTTCTCCTAATCAAACAAAAACACTAACGTTTGTCGGAATGGGTTGGGCAATTTAAGTATTAGGAAGAACAAAAACGTGTGTCCTCCAGTTTTGTAAGTGGGGTGAGGCCTTTTAAAAAGTGCAAGGCCAACTTCATTTTTTTTTCTTAATCGAACGGAAAATTACTAATCTAAGTTATATTTCACTGAAAAAAACAGGTTGTTTACCTTTTGATGAACGGAATCTCTTGAATTCGAACGGAATACTTGAGAGTAACCGTTATGCGAATCCAGGCGGGTCGACCGAGGATCGCACTTACACGCAGCAAATTAATTTCGTCCTTAGAAAGAAAACACAGCAGAACTCTGCCATTTTAAGTACAACAAAAAAATTCAAAAACACTGTTGGAGACTTTCCACACGGATCAGGCGACGGACTGAGGAGGAATTGTACTGACAGAAGAAAAGTGAAAGTACGCTACCACCACCACTCCGACTCTACCGGCCATGTTGAAACTTACCTTTAGAAATAATTACTTTATTTTTTTCATTTTTACCAAATACATTTGGAGATAAATATTCAAATTTTGATGAATAGATTATCTTTGTCTTGTCCGATATCCGTTGTATGTATTAAGTCAGTGTAGCTATGGCGTATATAAACTGCTCAAAAATGAATAGGAATTTTGCCAATTTTGTAGTATTTATTTTCCCTAGCATCTTTATTTTATTTTTATTATAAAAAATCTTTTAGAAATTATGTTTTTTACTGAAGGAAAATTTAATTAAGGGATTTGTAAAAATAACAAAATACAAGGTTTTAATTCCATGAATTGGGACGTCGGTGGCCGCAACGGTTTAGGCGTTGACACAGCGCTCATCGCAGTAAGGTAAAGGACTCGGGTTCGAACCCAGCGGCCTAGCATTCGAACCCGACATACTAACAAATGTTGTTGTTTTTTTTTTTTTAAACACCGGCACCCCGAGGGTTGATATGACCTCTGCTGTTGCGAACCCTTGTAAAAAAAATCCATAATTTTGTTTATTGGACACAATAATTATTTTAGACAGCTAAAACCTTGTATAATGTCCTCGGTTAGCTAAAACCTCTGTGCATGAGGTCTGGAGACAATGGGGGAAAGAGGCAGATGGGAAATTCCCAGGTTTTCTAATCATTGATGAACGTCTCTATGAGGTGTGGCATTGTCATTCAGAAATCGAAAATGGTTTGAGGGATGTATTCCTCAATAATTTCTTGTAGGAGGTTGCCTTCAACAATATATAGTCCAGTTCGTCCTCCAGTGTAAATCCCACTGGATCCACACCGCCACCTCCAAACAGCACAGAAGGGAGCACGAACTGGGGCATGTACGGATCCCCTGTTCTCAGTAGACTCTTCGCCGCCTGTTAGGCGCTCGCTCCACCATATCCTCTTGCTGGTGGCGGGCTGTTGCTGCAGTTCGTGTCAAAAGGGCAGATATATGTGAGGCATTACGAATCCTTTCTGTTGATGAAGGCCTTGTTTAGGCTCTGGCGGACACTATAGAAAGGATTCCTTGTAGCAATAGACCATATTCCTGTCGTTTTGCATCGTAATGCGCTGAAATCCACTACCAGACCTCCTATTGGCACTTCCAGTCTTTCGGAATCTGGAGACCGTGCTCTGAGAAACGCCAACCGTCTCAGAGATAATCCACTTGCCGGTGACCTCACACATTCTCACAATCTGGTTCAAGATGATGCTTGCCATGGTTAAAGAGAATCTGGATTAAAATGGAGAAAAGGTGTTTGTTTACAAAATAAGTAATCTTCATGTTTACTATTCTTAAGTAAATACGTTATTAAAAATAAAGATTAACATTAGTATTGTTTTTGCCTTGTATTGTCTATTTTGTTTTATCCAACTTACAAGAATATATCGAATAATTAAATTAAAATTAATAGAACAATAATAAATTACAAATATCTTTATTAATTTTTGAGCAGTTTATATTGTATTGTCAGCATACGTTCAATGAAAGAAATATACAAAATTTCACATCCTAGAAAACTTTATACCAAAAGAAAACAATATGCCTTTCTACTGAGATAAAGCCTTGTAAGTTGACTGACTGTTTCGTCAAGCCGTTTCAAGCACAGAACCAGTCATCTAAAATTTCACAGAGAATCGATCTAATTTCATTATATCCTTCCAGAAAAAAAGATAAAGTTCAATTAATAAACTGTACCCCACCGTAGAACCGGATTGAATAATTTCCTGGATAGTGAAGCAAGCATTGTAACTAATACACGCCATGGCTATTTTAAAATAAATAAAGTTCCATTGGGTAAGCACTTCGTGTCTTGAAATATTACCTTACACTTTCCATATATCAAAAAACGGTATTTTGACATTAACATTTTTTTCTTTTAACACTTTTTTTTACAATAAAATTTACATAGAGTTTAGATAATAATTCACTATTTTTTGCGGTCCGCTTGACCAATTAATAACATTCAAATATTTAAGGTTTTAAGTTGAGATAAAAAGTCATGTCACGAGCGGATTCGAACCCACGATCTTCGGCTGTGGTGGGTCGAAGTAAGGATAGCTCAAGTGGTTGCAGCAGCGACGTATTTAGCCGAAGGTCGAATCCCGCTCGTGACACAGGCTTTTTCATCTAATCAAAATCTTAGATAAAATGTATAATTTATTAAAATAATTAATAGACTACTATCTTCCTCAGTCTGGTGTATTTTTTTGTTTTTTTAATATTTCCAGTTCGTTTCAATCCATATCCATGGGGAGAGTGTTGCGTACAAATCGTGTGTCGTTTTTTATCTCGAAGAAGCATATTTTTTATAGTCTGTATCCGTAATATTTGCGTATTAACCACCAAGTCCCATATGGGCTTTATAGTAGCCGTTTCAGCCTTAGTTTCCAGTCCCTTTAAAAAAAAGCCCTATAATCGGATATTC